GGAGGGGCCGGTGCCTGTAGTTGCATTTTTCGGTACCGCTCGGCCGGTGCAGATTGAGGTGAGGACCGAGTAGTGCCCAGCTGAGCGCTGTGTCCTCTCGTTAACCCGCCGCCTTCTCAGAGCTGCGGGGGGAAAGGCACTGCAGGGCCTACTGGGTATAAAGTCAATCGGCTGCTAGTCTGCTACCTGCACACTTCGTCCTAGATATTCTGAGTTTGAGGGTAAATCTCAGTTACCTCAATGGACATCACAACCTATGCCAGCCAAAGGGAATACCCATTGTGTTTAATTGCTGTCCCAGGATTTTTATAACTTAAAAATATTTGTATTTTTCAATTTTGCCTCTCTCTTTTTGTCCCCATTTGCCACCTTGCCCAAAGACAATGCAAAGTCTTGCCAGGAGTTAGGATTAGCACTTCAGAAAAATCTCCCTGCTCATGTGGTGTGCCAGTCTCTCCTTCCCTCCCTCCCAGCCCTCTTCCCTCCTGGAGGAAGGGTCTGTGAAAAAAAACTATGTCAGAAATCTCATGCACCAGCTGGGTTCTGCCATCAAGTGGTTGGATTTTGGCTCAGTGCAGGGACAGACTGGGACAACTGTAACCAAGTGCTTTACCAGGACACCCAGAAGGAAAGCTACTCAGAAAGACAATAGCTAGGAGGAAGCCCTAGAAGAGCAGGAGAAGCAGCAGATGGCTCTTTCTGGGGCAGAGTGGAAGGCAGGCTCTCGGTTACCCAGCAAGGTACCGATTCCCCACGTTACACATCATGTGCAGCAGCTCAGCCCACGCTACATATCCTCAGGGATACTGGGCCATCCCTGGAAAGCTTTGCTCACACATTTGAACCAACCTTCCCCTTCCTACCCTTGGCAGTGATGAAGGTAGAGTGGAGGTAGGAGTTGAGAAAATAAAAGGGGCACCACAAAAGGGTGCTTGGGAAGCTGGTTTTAGTCTTTGTGTGGCCATACGTGCGTGTGTTGTACAGCCAAGAAATAAAACAGAAGAAGCCTGGCCCAGAAGCCAAAGCACTATCTGAAGACTCCAGAGATGTTTGTACAGACTCCGGGTGGGATGCTAAGCACAGGCATCTCCTGCTGTTAGGGGCAGATGTTCCATCTGCTACATCTGTTAGCACCCTTGGCCTCCAGCTATGAAACTGAAAGAGCTGGGGGTGTCTTGCAGAGCCTATGCCATATGTGCCAGGGATGGGTGGGTGGCTCACACTACCCAAAGGGGTCTCAAACGGCACTAGAGGCATGAGGTAACTCAGCTGTGCCAGCCCTCTCTGAGCTTGGGTGAGTCATGTTTCTCGGCGCCTCAGTTTCTCTGCATGTAAAATGTGACTCCCCTGTCCCAGAGAGGCATCAGATAAACTGGAAGGGTGTTTTTTAGGATGTTATGGGGAAGGATGGGAGAGCAGCACATTTCTGAATGGTTCACCATAAACTATGAAGCCATGAGCAATGGCAGGTTTGCTGGCCACACAAGCCACCCTGGTTTTTGAGCAGGAACAAGCTGCTGACGAGCCAGTCTTCCCGAGGAGCTCTTTGTTTAAAAACATTGCTTAAAACTAGCATCCCCTGGCTGACATTCTGGATTTGACCAGAGGCCTGTCTTTTACCCCTGCACCTGCCCCTTCACTGGAAAGGAGTCAAAAGAGGGATGTATGACCTACCTGCACTGGTCAGCAGCTGGAACATCATCCTCTGTGTTCACCCCAACACTGCCTTCTGTATCAGTAGGCAAAGCTTCAGTTCTTATCTCCTCTTGCCTCCATCCAAATTTCTGCTCCCTCCATTTAAACTCATTTGCCTAGCTGACTTTAACTGCCTTTCTACACAGAATCAAACATTTCAGTGCTGATTTCACAGTTCTTAGTGGGGCAGAAATGTCATATGACAGAGGGATGACTGCCAAATGTCAGACAACTTTCACATCATGCATTGGCAGAACACAGAGATGCTCAGAGAGATGAGACACAACATTCATTCTACCAGAAAAACTGGTAAACTGTTAAAAACCAGAAAAACTGTTATCAGAGTGACCAGTATCCTGGTCTAACCAGGTTTTCGTTCTGCTCTCTTCTGTTTGTTTTATTCCACCATTTTCTCCTATGACAGAATTTTTTAAATGGGCACACTGTGGTTGACAAACTGCTGACAGAAGGTGATAAAATCCCAAGGTTTATAACCCCTGTGGCATCAGTGACACACAAAGACAGAAGAAAGAACCTGAGTGTCCAGCCCCAAAACACTGTAGCTGAAAGGAAACCCCTTGAATTAATGCCTGTTGAAGTTGGACTTTATAGGATGTCCCAACAGACTGAACTGAAGAAAGATGTAGCCAGGAGCTTTGAACAGATATTTGAGATTTTTCAATAGTAACTAAATTCAGGTTCTTGCTTGAAATCCCTGTCAACTCTCCATCTTGCCTGCAGACAAAGACATATCCTCAACAGAGGAAGGGAAGAGTATTGCCCATGGCTCCAACAGCTCATAAAGGAAATTAAAACTGTGACTGAGCTCTGTCTGGCCTGCTATTCCAGAGAGGATGATAGCTTCTCCTGACCCCATCCAGCAGGGACTGAGGGGCCATCCTGGACACAGACAGTCTTGCTCCACTGGAAAGCAACTGAGCTGAGCTCCACGTCCAAACTCTCCTTAGCTTAAACAGGTCAGGTGTCTTTGCTAGTTTTCTTGAATACTGATAGGATTTTGAGCAGGGGTGGGAAGGAAGAGAGATTAGAATACACTTTCTGCTCAGAAACTGTGCCATTGAGACTGAGTTTCATGATGGCATTTTCCTCATAATTATTAATTCAGAGATCTTCAAAGTTCTTTATGGTAGTTGTGTTCTCCTGTGCAAAACTTTACACTTCTGTATGTTAAGCCTGGGATTTCTGGGCTGGGCAAAGACAGCCAGGCCTAGTGGAAAGACTTCTCATGAAAAACAGTCTACCTCTCTGCATTTCACATCTTAATGAGAAATCACCCCGGATTAACCTCATTTGCCAGCAGAGACACTGCTACAGATGAAGCAGATGCAGAGATGGTGATTTGATTTTACTTTTCAGAACTTTGAAGCAAATGCAAAGTGGACAATTTAACGGTTTGCATAATATAAAGAAATGTATCTCTATTCATCCTCTCCCCAGTTAAAAACCAGGAAGCTCAGACTGGTCATATGGGATGTACCTGGGAATGAACTAGGCTTTCCAAACACAGCTAGGATCCTAGCTCAGCCTGTTCACCCAGTGAAATACTACAGGGTAGGAAAGGGGAAAGAGCTCCTCAGCTTCTGACACCAGCTGCCCTCCCCAAGGCCTGTTTGATGATGGGGAGGCCAGCTGGACTGCAAGCAGACACACTTTGTCTTGCCTCCCATGCCCCACAAGGCTTGGTCCTCCTCACTCCTCATTTGCCCTGTGTTGAGAAGGGAGGTGTGGTACC